TAAAAAATAATAATTTAAATAGCGGCATTATTAGTTTAGTATAAAATACTAAAATTACATATAAAAATTAAATAAAAAAATTTTTCAAAAATATTGTAATCCAACATGATTGAAATAATTGTTGAACAAAAATAAAATTTTTTTAAATATTAAATGTTTTAGTACAAAATTCCGAAATTATATAAAAAATAGAAAAACTTAATATTTAAAATAAAATATATTATTATAAATGTATTGAAACTCAAAGTAAAAACGAAAAACTTTTAAATTTGCTTTAAAAAATAAATATATTTGAAAATTTGCTTATAGTTTAGAATAGTAAAATTAACAAGCATGCCACAGTTATTCAAAACAAGACAAGTACTGAAAATTTCTATCTTTAAATACCGTTAGATATTTGAAAAAAAAAACTTATTAGAAAAATCGCTTACCAATTCACTCGAGTAACTCTAATATTAATAATAATAATAATGGTAATAATAATAATAATAATAATAATAATAATAATAATAATAATAATAGCTATAGTAATAATAATAATAATAACAATAAAATCACGGCTTCAGCCAACAGCAGCGAAAATATGCTGAAAGTCACTTAATTCGCTCAGTTTACTTTCGTTGTTGTTGTTGTTGCTGTTTTTTCGGTATTAATTACATGCTTGGATTTTGTAATGATTATTTCATGAAGTAGAGTGTAGTCAATTTTCAGCCAACAAGCTGTTTTCATTAATATTATTTTTCGGTTGATTAACGGCGACACCATAACCAAACACACACACACACATACACATTAACAATGACAAACGAACGCATATGTTAAACACATATGTACATAATTTATTTTACTGAGTAGTTGCATAAGCACAGGCTGACAGGCACGCACACAGGCATATATACACACACATACATACATATGCATGTATGTACGTGTCTCTTGAATTTTCCATCCACTAATGTGCCACCGCTCATTGTGTAAAACGCGCCGCCGTTACTCCGCCAAAGTGGACTAAATGACTTTATAGTTGCCTTTTTTTCGAAATTAAATTTTCAAACTCTCTGCCTGCTTAGCAGCAGACACTCCCCTTTGGCCGCCTGCTCTAAGGCAACGAACTTGTTTTCGTCTCACTGTTTATTTTAGAATTATCACAAGCACATATTTTTTATGACTGCATGTGTGTTTTTGGACATATATATATGTGTGTGTGTGTGTGCATACAATAGAGTCTTCAAATTTCAGGGTCAAAACGGCTTCAGCTGCGAATCGCCCATTAAATGAAAATGATATATGACCAGCACTTCACACATGACACTCCACGCTGCACCGCACCGCAACGCGCGGCTTCGCACTGCTTAGCTCAGCTCTACAGCTGCTTTGCTCAGCGTGCCATGTGTGTGTGTGTGTGTTTAGAAGAACCTTTTTTTTCTTTGACAATATTCTATTTCATTGTTTCAAACAATACCGCGATTTTTTTTTTTTATTTCTCTTTTAACCTTTTGTCAGCAGCGAGTGAAATTCGGTTAGCTTCCGAGCTGGTTAGAATTTTGTTGATATTTGAGCGCCACTTAGAACAAAAGCGTGCACGAAATGTGGCGCAAAGGCACTCGCGCACCTACATATATGTATATATACAGTCATATACTAATATACAATATATATATATACATGTATATATGAACAAAGAAATAAAATATTTATAAAAAATCGTTTATAAAACTGCTAAAAACGCGAATGAATGCGCTGAAAATAAAAATAAAAAAACTACCACTTTATTCTTTCGCTAATTGCTGCCAGCAAATTCTGTAAATAAAAGATAATAATCTGTTAATTGTTTAGATTATCGAATTGGCCGCATAGCAGCGCTTCGGGGAATTCCTTGTTTGCCTCCAAGCATTCAAAATGGGAAATGGTAATAAAAAGTTGCTACAGAACACCAGACAGCTTCATAAATTTTCAGTTTTTATTTAGGGAAAACATTTTGGCTAAGCTTTTTTAGCCTGTTTACATGCGAGCATCACGAGCAATAGCTAGCAACAGATTATTATCGGCTGTGTATAAAGTGAAATTACTTTTGAAAACTGAAACCATTTAAAACCGCACCATGAACCCTTAGTGAGGAAAGCGCTTTCAACGGCATTTTCGAAAAAAACATTTTTCAATCACACGTATTTTCGCACACACATTCACATAAGCACAAACACTCTGGCGCCATTAAAAATTTCCAGCGAATTCATTCTTTTCGTAACTATTTGTTTAGACAACTACTGTGCCGTGTCAGCACTGCCACTCACTATATTGACTAGCTAATGATAACAACTCATACGCAGCAGACGCACAGAGTATCGTGGCGCTATTTCCGGTATTGCTAAGAATTATCTAATTTCATAAGCGTTTTTGCTCAAATAAAAATCCGAAATTTTGAGACGTCGTGTGTGGATACATTTATTGAAAATAAACACACTTACATACACACATAAATGTATATATTTTGCAAGTTTAACGGTATGTAAAGCACAGACATTGAGCCTTCTGGGAAATCGTGCTAGGTGCGAATATATAATATTTTGTGTTGTAAGTGATTCGGCAATAAACGCGTTTTCCATGAACTGAAGTCAATTTTAAGGCAATAAATTTTAATAAACGATATACTGTAATAACCGAGTGTAAGCATTGAATCGTTGAAGGTAAAAATTTCGTTAGAAAGTCGAAATAATAAATAATTAAAATTGCTTAGTATGTTAAAATTCTTGCGGCTTAAAATTCATACCTAATAATATACTATATAATAATACTTCGCTTAATAACTCGAAGATATGTTAAGAAGCGTCAAGCACACTTTACTGCTTGCACATTTTAATACTTTATTTCATTGATAGGCTGAGCTAAGCTTTGGCACAATGCATTTGCTAGGGACACTAGAATGAAAAATTATTACATAAAATTAAGATAAGCAATAAAATATATAACTGGTGGAGCTTATGAAATAAAAACATCACAAAATATTTATTATTTTATATCCTTATTGGATACACATTATCATGTCGGAGAAAACAAGTTCTTAACTTGGACAACTTATTTAAAAAATTCGAACAAAAAAAATTTTTAAAATTAGTTAAATATTTTTCATTGCATATTTTGTAATTGTTGTTATAAAATTCCAAAAACCTATTCAAATTTGTTTTTGCTGACACAGCTTTTGTATGCAAAATGTTGTGTTAATTGACTTTTCCAAAAAAATGTTTGAAACAACCCTAAAGTACACAAGTATAGTAGGGTGGAGCGCAAAAATTTGTTTATATTTTTTTGTATATTATATTATAAATTATATATTTTAAAAAAAAGAAAATTTTTGGACAAAAAAAAAATTTTTTTTTCACATCTGGAGGCGCACTCAGTTTTTAAGTAAATTTCGAGTAAACAGTTTTTTGGACAAGAGAAAATTATATATGGTTTAAACTCTTTACATTTATATAAAAATTACGAAATATGACGGTTTTTGACTCAAAATTTATTTTAGCGCTTAAGGAAAGCATGTTGTTTTTTTAAAACTCCAATAATGACCAAAAAAAATTGTTTTAAGTTAGCCAGAAAGGGGACTCTACACAGCTTCTAGAACACTTAACAAAAACT